ACCTGGAGGGGACAGGGACAGCCCTCAGAAGGACCTGGGGAACTCGGGGGACCTGGAGGGGACAGGGACAGCCCTCAGAGGGACCTGGGGAACTTGGGGGACCTGGAGGGGACAGAGACAGCCCTTTGAGTGACAGGGGGACCCTTCAGGGCAACCTGGGCAGGGGACGGACAGGGACAGCCCTCAGGGCAACTTGAGGGACACCGGGACACCCTCCAGGGGGACAGCGCTGCCACGGACAGTCCCTCAGAGGGGACTTGGGGACCACAGTACCGCCACCTCACCATGTCTCTCTTGCCCCCTGCCCCCAAGCTGTCACCTGTCCCCAGCACTGGAGGCTCAGCTACCTGTGTCACAAGATAGTGGCTCAGGGGACCACCCGTCCTGGTGACAGCTGAGCTCTGTCCCCACAGATGTCGCCTACCTGCGCTCCGTCCTGCCCAGCACCACGGAAGACGCCTTCTTCGATTATCTGGCCACCCTGGACACCTCGGAGGTCACAGTCTCAGCTGTGCCAGAGGGCTCTGTCGTCTTCGCCAGGGTGGGACATGCTCCGTACCTTTCCCGGCTTTGGGGACATTGTCTTTTGTGTCCCCAGAGGGGGACAGGGGACATCACTGCCCGGCTGTCCCCACAGGTCCCTTTCCTGCAGGTGAAGGGGCCTCTGCTGGTGGTGCAGCTGCTGGAGACGACGTTGCTGTGCTTGGTCAACTACGCCAGGTAGGGGACACGTCCTCCTCTGGTCCCCAAGCTGCTGGGGACCACATCTGTCACTTCAAGTCCACAACGGTCCCTGCCACATGCTGGCGCCCCACCACCAGTGGCTCTGTGCTCAGCCTGGCTTGGTGTCACCTGTCCCTTCTTCTCCCCAGCCTGGTGGCCACCAACGCTGCTCGCTTCCGACTCCGCGCCGGCCCCGACGTGAAGCTCATGGAGATGGGGCTGCGTCGCGCTCAGGGACCCGATGGTGCCCTTTCAGCTTCCAAATACTCTTACATAGGGGGTGAGTGCTTCCCCACGGCGCCTGGTGGCACCACGGCCACGCCATCACCCGTGTGTCCCCTCTGTCCCTCCTCGCAGGCTTTGACTGCACCAGCAACGTCCTGGCAGGGAAGCTCTATGGCATCCCAGTGCGCGGCACCATCGCTCATTCCTTCATCATGTCCTTCACCTCGCTGGAGGAGGTGCAGCCGCGGGTGAGTGTCACCATGGGGAGGGGACAGGATGCTCTGGCTGTGGCCGTGCTTCTGGTGCTGTGGAGGATGTCACAGGGTGTGTTCCCTGGGCAGGAGCTGTCACCGCTGGCAGGAGGAGACCCAGTGGATCTCCCGCTCCTGGCTGAGTCGTGGTTGCAACGGGTGTGTGAGCTCCTGCAGAGCCCCCCTGAAAAAGCGAATCGGGGTGAGCTGGCCGCCTTCGTATCCTACGCCATCAGCTTCCCGCGGGATTTCCAGGGCCTGTTGGACACGTATTGTGTCCAGAGGTGAGAACACTGTGTCCCCATGGCTCTGCCACCACAGCAGAGGGGACAGACGTGTCCCTCCTCGCTCGGTGGCCTCAAATCATAGACTCACAGAATCATTAAGGTTGGAGGAGGGATGTTTCCACCTGGCAGCATCCTTGTGCTTTGCGGTTGCTGGATGCAGGGCTCTGGATGAGCTGCTGGATCCGTCCTGGGTCCCTGTCCCCCCAGGCAAGGGACATTAACCCCTTCCTCGCCCATGCCAGGAGTGGTTTGCCGAATTTCTGTGCAGTGGCGCTGGCCCTGCACCAACTGGGGTACCGGGCTATCGGGGTGCGTGTGGACAGCGGGGACCTGGCGCAGCAATCCAAGGAGATCCGCCGAGTGTTCCGAGCCTGCGCTGCTCAGTGAGTCCCCCACCAAGTCCAGCTTGGCTGCCACTGGTTCCCAGTTTCCCCACTTTGGACACCCAGCACCTCATCCTGCTGGGGTGGGAGCTCCTGCAGGTCAAGGGGGTGCTGTGAATGGAGCCGGGGTCCCCCCCCCCAAACTCTGCACCCCCTCATTCACTCTCCTGTCACTCTCTAGCTTCCAGGTGCCATGGTTTGAGACCATCGCCATCGCTGTCAGCAATGACATCAGCGAGCAGAGCCTGGAGGAGTTCAGGCGGGAGGTGAGGGAGATGCTGACAGGGCCAGGACGTCATCAGTGCCAAGAAGGTTTAGGGGGTGGAGGGGGGACAACATGAGAGTGACCTGGGGCTTTCTCCCTGGGTGAAAACAGAGAAGAGGGTCTAGGCTGGAAAAAATAAAGGGTTTTTGGGTGCAGAAACCGGGCACCTTTGGGCAGAGCATCCTCTGACCTGCCCCGTGGCTCCGGTTTTATACCAGGCTTAAAAAAAAATACCAGCAGGGTTGGGCTGCTGATAGCTGCTGTCTTCTCTGCTGCACCAGGGGAGCGAGATTGACATGATTGGTGTCGGGATGAACCTGGTGACGTGTCCCCTGCAGCCATCACTGGGATGTGTTTACAAGGTAGGGTTGGCAGCTTGCTGCTTTGCTCGTGGAGCGTGGGGCACCCAGGCTTCTCCTGGTCTTCACAGGGGTGGGGACAAGTGGCGAAGGGGGAATCCAGCCCTGAGGGACGCTGTGGTGTCAGATCACGGAATGGTTGGGGTGGAAGAGACCTTAAGGATCATCGAGGTCCAACCTCCTGCCATGGGTGGGGACATTTTCTACTACATCAGGTTGCTCAAAGACTTATCCAGCCTGGCCTTGAACACCTCCAGGGATGGAGCGTCCACAGCTTCTCTGGGCAACATCTTCCAGTGTCTCACAACCCTCATTGTGAAGAATTTCTTCCTTATATCCAACCTAAATCTCCCCTCTTTCAGTTTGAAACCATTGCCCCTTGTCCTGTCACTACGGGCCAGGGTAAAAAGTTTCTTCATCTTTCTTAAAAGCCTCCTTTAAGTACTGGGAGGATGCTAGAAGGTCTCCCTGGAGCCTTCTCCAGGCTGCACAACCCCAACTCTCTCAGCCTTTCCTCACACCGGAGGTGCTCCAGCCCTCGGACCATCTCTGTGGCCTTCTCTGGCCCTGCTCCAACAGGTCCACGTATGTCCTGTGCTGAGGATACAGAGCTCAACACGGTCCCCAGCACCCACATGACCTGGTGTGTGACAAAAATAAGGTGCCCACTTCCATAACTACCTTCTCCTACAGCTGGTGGAGGTCAATGGCTCCCCCTGCCTGAAGCTCACAGAAGACGAGGAGAAGATGACGATCCCAGGGACCAAGACAATCTATCGGCTTTATGACGCTGCTGGTGAGTTGGGACACCCTTGCCACGGTTGCTGCCCTGTTGCCCTCTCCTGGTTCATAACCCTGTCCCCGCTATCCCCTAATGTGGCACCCCTGCAGGTCACCCCTTCATGGACCTCATGGCGCTGGAAGAGGAGCCGTCGCCCACCGCGGGGCAGGAGCTGGAGATCCGTGTCCTGGGGCGGCTTGATGAGGCCACCAAGGTCATGCCCACCACTGTGGAGCCCCTCCATCGCACATATGTCAGAGACGGCCAGGTCAGGGGTGGCTCTGCCTTCTGGTGTTGGAGTGTCCTCCCCAACGTTGGGTGAAGGACCAGGGTCGTAGTGTCTTGGCCGTAATGTCAACATCAAAGGGTTAAACCTCAGTGTTTCCTTGCATCTGTGATGTTCCCCACCCCAACAACTCAGGTGCCACCATCATGGTGGCATCAGAGTCCGGCTTGGAGGTGACTTGTTAGGGATTGGTGGTGGCTCCCCACATGGGACATGGTCACAAATCTCCATCCCTGTAGGTTTGCGAGCCACTACCCAGCCTGTCGGAGATGAGGAGCCACGTGCAGGCATCCCTCAGCCTCCTCAACCCCGCTCACCGCCGGCTCCGTGACCCACAGCCCTACCCGGTACGTTGGCTGCTTGCCCAGCACCATCGGTACACACACAGGAACCTGGGCGCCCTTGGTGGCCTCAGCAAAGCCGCTGTGGCTCCACGATGGAGCTGCACTCCCCCGTGGAGAACACATGCTCACTGTCCCCTCTCGTTGCCGTGTCAGGTGGCTGTGACGGAGAGGCTGCACCGGCTCCGGGAGGCCTGCCAGTGACGGGGGGACCCCTGCTTGCCCCCTGTGCTGTGGCCACACAACCCCTGCCTGGGGCCAGCTCTTCTTCTGCACTTTTTTGAAGACCAGGTGACTAATTGGGAATTAATGGTTTTAACGACGCTGCTGCGCTAATCTGAGGACCCTGCAGGAACTGGCAGTGCTCCCAGTAGCAAAACTGGGCACAGAGAGACAGGGCAGACAGAGCTGGGAGGCAGCTGCCCCCAAGTTCTCTGGAGGTGACGGTCCTCTGCCTTCCTTGGTGGCCCTGCCAGCCTCGCACCTTCTGCTGTGACAGCACTGCCCACCTCGGTGGCCCTGCCGACCCTGTGCCTTCTGTAGTGACAGCGCTGCCCACCTCGGTGGCCCTGCCATCCCTCTGCCTTGTGCTGTGGCAATGCTGCCCACCTCGGTGGCCCTGCTGTCCCTGCACCTTCTGCTGTGACAGTTCTGCCTGCCTCAGTGGCCCTGCCACCCCTGTGCCTTCTGCTGTGACAGTGCTGCCCGCCTCGGTGGCCCTGCTGTCCCTGCACCTTCTGCTGTGACAGTTCTGCCTGCCTCAGTGGCCCTGCCACCCCTGTGCCTTCTGTTGTGGCAGTGCTGCCTGCCTCGGTGACCCTGCCATCCCTGTGCCACCTTCTGCGGCAGCGCTTCCCACCTCGGTGGCCCTGCCAGCCCCACACCTTCTGTGGTGGCAATCGATATTGAAGTTCCTCTGTGGCACTAGAGACCAAATTTTGAGTGCACAAGGAGAAGTCCTACCATGGGAAGGGCCAGCCTGTCCCCAACCCCTGTCATGTGGGACATCTGTGGCTGATGCGCTTTGCCCTTCCAATTCTAGTCTTTGTGTCTGTGGCCACATTTTTTCTCTTTCCATTTTTTATGCCTTCACTGGGGCGTGGAGGCCAGGTCCAGGTTGACGCCTGCACTCTCTAACCTGATGTTCATAGAAAAAATGTGGCACTAATCCCCAAAATTAACTTAGAATCATGGAGTGGTTTGGGATGGAAAGGACCTTAAAGATCATCGAGTTCCATCCCCCTGCCATGGGACTTCCACCTAAGCATCCAACTTAAAAAAAATGAATTAAAGGACTTTACCCACTACACCACCATGCTCCTCTGGTCCTTCAAAACTCTTGTTGCCTTCAGCTTGAATATTTAATTCAACATCCTTCACTTCACTTCATGGTTTAGGACTGAATAAATTTGGAATGAAAAGCAAGTGCTGAGCCCTGAGAGCGTCAGGGTGGCCCAAGCAGGTGCCTCAGCCCCATTTTGTGGCATCCTGGTAACCCTAATTCCAGTGAAAAAACCTTGTAGCTCCGTGGGGGGGGGGGGTATGTCTCATACCTGGGCAATGACCACTTGAAAGCTTTATCAAAACAGGGTCAAGAGAAGTTGTTGCATGGAATGGGGGGAAAAAAAAGCTGCACAGACTGAATCTTCTCAGAGACTTGCGTATTTTCTCTAATCCTGCCCAAATCTGGAGCTAGTAAGTCATTTCCTGAGCTTGTAAAATGTACAGACCCAGGATTGAGCCATGCAGTGTGGAAGGGCAACAGGGAAATCCCCAGGAAGCAGCACCTGCGCAGGCCCAGACCCCAACCCTGTTTGCACACCCAGGAACAGCTGTGGTTTTGCAGCACAAAAAATAAGAGTTTAATGAAGCATGGCCTGATGGTCTCATTTCTAAAAAAAAAAAATCCAACAGGCTGGAGGTCCCTGTTGCAATGTTCCAGCTGCGGGCACAGTATCATACAGCATTTTAAGAGAGGAAAAAAAAAACAAAACCAAACTCCAGGAAAACCAAGAACAAAACCAAGTTTTTGTTATTAAAACTTACATTTTTTTTAGAGCAGAAGCACCAGAGCTATGAGCCCAACGCCCAGTGTACCTGAGTAGAGATTGTCTTGAGTTCTTAGGAGAGAAGGAATGAAGAGCAACTTGAAGCAGATGAAGAAAGACACCAGCACCTCCGTGTCCCTCTCCATGGTCCCAGAGGATCAGCTGGAGGTTCTCAAGCAAGAGCAGGGTATCCATCCTTGGGATGATCCATTGTGAGATCTGCCACCATTTCTCCTACCTTGAGACAGACTCTTCAGCTGCTGGTGCTCTGCTTTTGCCCAGGACCATCTGGAATATCTCTAAGGATGGAGACTCCACCACCTCTCTGTGCCAGGGCTTGTCATCTTCGCAGTGATGAAGCGTTTCCTGACATTCAGAGGGAACCTCCCGTGTTTCAGTTTGTGTCCGTGGCCTCTTGGTCCTGGCTCTGTCCTCTCTGAACCCTCCTTTCAGGTGTTTCTAAACATTGATGAGATCCCCCTGAGCCTTCTCTTCCCCAGGCTGAACAGTCCCAGCTCTCTCAACCTTTCCTCGTAGTCCCTTCATCATCTTTGTGGTCCTTTGTTGGTCTCTCTTCTCTCTCATACTGGGGAGCTCAAAACTGGATCCAGTACTCCAGGTGTGGCTTCCTCAGTGGTGAGCAGAGGGGAAGGATCCCTACCCTGGACCTGCTGGTGACATTTCTCCGACCGCCTTTTCTACCATGAGGACACATTGCTGCTGTGGGGTCAACTTGGTGATGTCTCCAGCAAGGGCATTTGGAAGCTGACTTGACATTAAATGTGTTAATAATCTGGGTTCGTTACCCACCAGCGATCCTTTGTAGAAATAAGGGACACACCAGAAAGCCAATACAACCACCAAGCTTTTGAGGTCCCAGTTAGCAGCACAAACCTGCTCTCAAAAAAAAAAAAATAATCCCAAACCACGTTTATTACATGGCCCAAGCCAACAAGGCCAACAGAAAGCTATGGGCTGCGTCTTACAATTACTGCACCCTGCGTTAAAGAGGAAAAAAGAGGTGGAAGGAAATTTCTGGGACTCCTGGATGCATCCCTCGAGGTTTTGGTGTCCTGTCAGTGCAAGTTGGAATCTAGGCAGCCCAGTTCATAGCACTGAATCCGTAAGAGCTTCCCCCTGCTTGTGCTTAATGGCAGAGAAGCCCCAGTTTGCAAATTTAAATTATTTAACTTCAGTAATAGCAGTTTCCACCTAGAGACCCTAATCCTTACTGTAGTCACATCAGAAAATCTAAAAGTGCTAATTTTTATCATTTTTGCCCTTTGAATTCTGTTATTAGTCAGAAGTGGATGCAGAGATGGGACGGTAAGTGCTAAAAGTGAGGTTAAAACACCCCATCGTGTCACAAATTTTGCAAAAAAGAAGACAGCATAATGAGCTCACATGCTGTTCCTCTGGTCCATCTTTCTTTGAGTTTTGTTCTTACAAAAATACGTATTTTTAAACGTTGCAGCTCAAAACATACAATTAATCTCATGGCTGAAAATAAAGGACGGTGGGTAAAAGTGACAGAGTTTTACTGCTGGATAAGGGAAGCGCAGAAAATTCAGGGACCCAGCTTTAGGTGCGGGGTCACATCCTGCACCTCAAGAAAATATCTCGTCATGACCCATCTCTTAGCCACACCGGTGCAGCTCACACCTCCTGGTTTTCTCATTCTGCAAGTCCACGTGAGGATGTCTTGTGCAGGACGAGGCTGTGGTTTTCTCGTGCTTTTTGCAAACCTGAGGATAATTCCTCATGTTTTGGTTAGATGCTGGTCCTCAGCTTTGGAGGGAAGGGCAGGCAGGGAGAAAAGGATTTTGAGGAGGACTCTGAGGTAGGGCAGAGCTGCAGAGTGCCTGGGAAGGAGGGAGGGTGGAAAGGGAAGGTAAGAAATGAGAATGAATTTGAACGTAAATAATTCAGAGTCCAGGTCTGCCAGGAGTCCAAAATATCGCTCGCTAATGCCAGGTTTAACAAACCTGGACAGGCTGATGTGGATAGTTTGATACCAGATACTGGAAGAGGTAAGAAGAGGCAGAAGTGGAAGCTCGGTGCACCCAGACCCGGCTGCTTTCACCCATGAGGAGCTGCAGGGTTGATCCAAGCTCAAATTTCTGACGTCTTGCTGCTCTGTGGCACCAGCCCGAGGCAGCGTCATTTGTAAAGTGCCATCTTCTTGCTTTGGTACATGTACATGTAGGCGTCGCAGAAGAGGCGTTTGGCCACTCCATCCATGTCCCGAGGTTGCTCTAGGGCCAGCACAGCCAGTGGCAAGTCCAGATATTTGGCAACTTCAGGGCACAGCGCTACCGTAGGAATGTTGAAGCCATTTTCATCACCTAACCGAGGAAAAAAAAAAAGGAGAAAATTCCAAACCAGGTCCCAAGGGATCTACAGCTCAAGCAGATACCATCACACTCAAGAATAACTTCACAGAATCATAGAATGGTTTGGGTTGGAAGGGACTCTAAAGATCACCGAGTTTCAACCCCCCTGCCATGGGCAGGGACACCTCCCACTAGCCCAGGTTGCTCAAAGCCTCATCCAGCCTGGCCTTGAACCCCTCCAAGGATGGGGCATCCAGAGCTGCTCTGGGCACGGGCCAGCGCCTCACCACCCTCACAGTAAAAAACTTCCTCCTAGTGCCTTTTCTGAGAGATCTGGAGGCCAACAATAAAGTGGGGAAGGACAGAACAGTCCTCACCCACACAGCAACTAGTCCCAGCTGGCTTGACAAGTCCCTTGTTTGAACACAGCAGGAGGATGAAAGCACCAGGAGGAACTCACACATGCTTGGCCTGGCCATACTCTTCTCTGGGGTTTATTTAAATGGTCCCTGTTGGAAGCGGGGTCCAGAGAGAGCCTAAATCATAGAATCACAGAATGGTTTCGGCTGGAAAGGACCTTAGAGATCACAGAGTTCCAATTCCCCTGCGATGGGCAGGGACACCTCCCACTAGCCTGGGTTGCCCAAGGGCTCATCCAGCCTGGCATTGAACACCTCCAGGGATGGGGCATCCACAGCTTCTCTGGGCAACCTGGGCCAGGGTCTCACCCCCCTCACAGTAAAAATTTCCTCCTAATTTCTAGTCTAAATCTCCCCTCTTTCAGCTTATACCCGTTACCCCTTGTCCTCTCACTACACTCCCT